GAAGAAATCAAAGAGGAAATCCAAAAGTACCTAGAAACAAATGACAATGTGGACACGACAACCCAAAACCTATAGGATGCAGCAAAAGCAGTTCTAAGAGGGAAGTTTATAGCAATACAATTCTACCTCAAGAAACAAGAAACATCTCAAACAAATAACCTAACCTTACACCTAAAGCAATTAGAGAAAGAATAACAAAAAAAATACCCAAAGTTATCAGAAGGGAAGAAATCATAAAGATCAGATGAGAAATAAATGAAAAAGAAATGAAGGACACAATAGCAAAGATCAATAAAACTAAAAGCTGGTTCTTTGAGAAGATAAACAAAATAGATAAACCATTAGCCAGACTCATCAAGAAAAAAGGGAGAAGACTCAAATCAACAGAATTAGAAATGAAAAAGGAGAACTAACAACTGACACCACAGAAATACACAGGATCATGAGAGATTACTACAAACAACTATACGCCAATAAAATGGACAACCTGGAAGAAATGGACAAATTCTTAGAAAAGCACAACCTTCCGAGACTGAACCAGGAAGAAATAGAAAATATGAACAGACCAATCACAAGCACTGAAATTGAAACTGTGATTAAAAACCTTCCAACAAACAAAAGCCCAGGACCAGATGGCTTCACAGGCGAATTTTATCAAACATTTAGAGAAGAGCTAACACCTATCCTTCTCAAACTCTTCCAAAATATAGCAGAGGGAGGAATGCTCCCCAGCTCATTCTATGAGGTCACCATCACCCTGATACCAAAACCAGACAAAGATGTCACAGAAAAAGAAAGCTACAGGCCAATATCACTGACGAACATAGATGCAAATATCCTCAACAAAATACTAGCAAACAGAATCCAACAGCACATTAAAAGGATCATACACCATGATCAAGTGGGGTTTATTCCAGGAATGCAAGGATTCTTCATTATATGTGAATCAATCAATGTGATACACCACAGTAACAAATCGAAGGATAAAAACCATATGATAATCTCAATAGATGCAGAAAAAGCTTTCAACAAAATTCAACACCATTTATGATAAAATCTCTCCAGAAAGTAGGCATAGAGGGAACTTACCTCAACATAATAAAGGCCAGATATGACAAACCCACAGCCGACACAGTCCTCAATGGTGAAAACTGAAACCATTTCCACTAAGATCAGGAACAAGACAAGGTTGCCCACTCTCACCACTATTATTCAACATTGCTTTGGAAGTTTTAACCACAGCAATCTGAGAAGAAAAAGAAATAAAAGGAATCCAAATTGGAAAAGAAGTAAAGCTTTCACTGTATGCAGATGACATGATACTATACACAGAGAATCCTAAAGATGCTACCAGAAAACTAGTAGAGCTAATCAATGAATTTGGTAAAGTAGCAGGATACAAAATTAATGCACATAAATCTCTTGCATTCCTATACACTAATGATGAAAACTCTGAAAGAGTAATTAAGGAAACACTCCCATTTACCATTGCAACAAAAAGAATAAAATACCTAGGAATAAACCTACCTAAGAATACAAAAGACCTGTATGCAAAAAACTGTAAGACACTCATGAAAGAAATTAAAGATGATACCAACAGATTGAGAGATAGACCATGTTCTTGGATTGGAAGAATCAACATTGTGAAAATGACTATACTACCCAAAGCAATCTACAGATTCAATGGAATCCCTATCAAACTACCACTGGCATTTTTAAGAGAACTAGAACAAAAAATTTCACAATTTGTAGGGAGACACAAAGGACCCCGAATAGCCAAAGCAATCTTGAGAAAGAAAAACGGAGCTGGAGGAATCAGGCTCCCAGACTTCAGACTACACTACAAAGGTACACTAACCAAGACAGTATGGTACTGGCACAAAAACAGAAATACAGATCAATGGAACAAGATAGAAAGCCCAGAGATAAACACATGCACATATGGTCACCTTATCTTTGATAAAGAAGGCAAGAATATACAATGAGGAAAAGACAGCCTCTTCAAAAAGTGGTGCTGGGAAAACTGGACAGCTACACGTAAGAGACTGAAATTAGAACTCTCCCTAACACCATACACAAAAATAAACTCAAAATGGATTAAACACCTAAATGTAAGGGAGACACTATAAAACTCTTAGAGGAAAACACAGCAGAACACTCTATGACATCAATCACAGCAAGATCCTTTTCGACCCACTTCCTAGAGAAATGGAAATAAAAACCAAAAAAATGGGATCTAAGAAACTTAAAAGCTTTTGCACAGCAAAGTAAGACATAAACAAGACGCAAAGACAACCCTCAGAATGGGAGAAAATATTTTAAACAAAGCAACTGACAAAGTATTAACCTCCAAAATATACAAGCAGCTCATGCAGCTCAATATCAAAAAAACAGACAACCCAATCCAAAAATGGGCAGAAGACCTAAGTAGACATTTCTTCAAAGAAGATACACAGACTGCCAACAAACACATGAAAAGATGCTCAACATCACTAATCATTAGAGAAATGCAAATCAAAACTACAATGAGGTATCACTTCACACCAGTAAGAATGGCCATCATTAAAAAATCTACAAACAACAAATGCTGGAGAGGGTGTGGAGATAAGGGAACCCTCTTGCACTGTTGGTGGGAATGTAAACTGATACAGCCAGTATGGAGAACAGTATTGAGGTTCCTTAAAAAACTAAAAATAGGACTACCATATGACCCAGCAATCCCACTGCTGGGCATATACCCTGAGAAAACTATAATTCAGAAAGAGTCATGTACCACAATGTTCACTGCAACTCTATTTACAATAGTCAGCATGTGGAAGCAACCTAAGTGTCCATCGACAGATGAATGGATAAAGAAGATGTGGCACATACATACAATGGAATATTACTCAGCCATAAAGAGATATGAAATTGAGTTGTTTGTAGTGAGGTGGATGGACCCAGAGTCTGTCACAGAGAGTGAAGTAAGTCAGAAAGAGAAAAGCAAATACTGTAAGTTAACACATATATATGGAATCTAAAAAAAAAAAAAGGTTCTGATGAACATAGGGACAGGACAGGAATAAAGACGCAGACGTAGAGAATGGACTTGAGGACACAGGGAGGGAGAAGAGTAAGCTGAGACGAAGTGAAGAGTAGCATTGACATATATACACTACCAAATGTAAAATAGATAGTGGGAAGCAGCAGCATAGCACAGGGAGATCAGCTGGGTTCTTTGTGACCACCTAGAGGGGTGGGATAGGGAGGGTGGGAGGGAGACGCAAGAGGGAGGAGATATGGGGATATATGTATATGTATAGCTGATTCACTTTGTTATACAGCAGAAACTAAGACACCATTGTAAAGCAATTATACTCCAATAAAGATGTTAAAAAAATTCAATCATAAGAAGACAACCCAATTTAAATCAAAAAAAGATCTGAATAGATACTTCAGCAAAGGTAAGTGAATGACTAATACACACATTAAAGATGCTCAACATCATTAGTCATTAGAGACACGCAAATTAAAATCACAATTAGATACCACTCCACACCTATCTCAAGTAGATAAACTTTAAGAAAGTTGACTGGAAGGTGAGAATCTAGAAACTGTCTTAAAATTATCTTTGCTGACAGACTCATTGGAAAGCTTCTGTGTATCTCCAGTAGTACACACACCATGTTTAAGACCACTTGTATGAGAAAACAAGAATTTGGTGACTTACAAAATATCTGGTTTCAGGATTTGATGATTAGAAAGGTGTCAAGCATGAATGAGGCTGATTTGGAATTAAAAAAATGTCGGGCTGGGAAAGGAGCTAACAGGAAGGAGAGAAGAAAGGAAGAGGAATGAGAACTCTTGGTAGAGTTCTCATCCATCATCATCGTTCTGATAGTCCCTAGCACTGGCAAATAGAGTAAGATATCCTCAGGCAACACCCATGATTTTTTCTTTTTTAATCATCTGGTTGACTCCCACACAGGCTCCATGCCCTAGCCCACAATGACTAAAATGTACCATTCCCAGGCAAGTCTCCACATCTCCTCTTCAGACACTCACATCGACAAATCACTCTGCTGCAACTGGTGCAAAGCAGAGAACTGCACCAAGCAAAATTCACCTTCATTTTTGCCCTACATCACAACCTAATGTACCCAAATTACAGTATTTGTGACACTGTAATAATAATTATTGGTTTACGTGCCTTGCCTCTTCCGCCTCCCATTAGAGATTGTGCCTTCTTTAATGACGGAGACATTTTTTACTCATCTCAAGATCTTCAGCACCAGTACAGTACCTGATATACAGTACAGTCAATAAATGCTCAGAGAATGGAAGACTGATATAAACTACAGATATAAACTCTAGCCATATAGTTTGAATGTCTTTGTCTACAAAAGACCTTTTTTTAAAAAAAACCAAAAACATATTGTGGGAAGCAAATGTATTGTAAAACTAGTTTTTTTCTTTCTTAGGAGAGGCTCTAATCTGTAATTAAGAATCTGATATGTTATTATATAACTAATCACCTTTTACACAAAATCTTAGGAAAATGACTATATAAAAGAAATGTAATGAGGAAACCAATGGACTAGACAGAAGCTAGGTAACCTAATTCTGGCTAGTACCAGTGACTCTGGATATGTTTTCTGGCTTTCAGTTTCCTCATGTGTAAAGTGAAAAAATTAAAGAACAATCTCTAAGTACCCTTCAAATGTTAATATTCTAAGGATCTTTAATCCATGAGTGTTTCATTAATGAACAATAAGAAGGCAGGAGGCATGTCACATGCTGAGTATTCCTAATATTCTGGTTCTTCTTGCTAGAAAGCAAGTGAAATTATCCTGTCAATATTCATTCAGTACTTCAATTCCAGGAACAAAATTAAGTAAGTGCCCCACCATCTACTTCTGAAATCAGGAACTTGACCTTTCAATTCTAATAATTCAACTCTTGAAGCAAGCATTTAATCACATATCATAGGCACTGACATAATAAACAAACTGTAAGCTTACCTGCCAGGAAACTGCTCCCAAAATTGCTGTTGCAAGAAGACTAAAAAAAACTAACTGCTCTGAAATTAAGCAAAAGTGGCGCATCCCTTTGGATGCCATGATTCGATCTAGGTTATTGTTATCTACCCTGTGAGTAAAATATACTTTATGGCAGTCATTTAATTTGGAATGGAATCCCCAAAGAGTTAAAAGAAAAATAATATGGCAAATCATCCAGAATATTCCAAAAATGGAAAAGCCTGGTATTACAAAATACCAGAGATGAGTGTCTCTAAGTTTAAATGCTGAAAGAATGAAAAATGTAAGCTCAATCATCCCAGTGAAAACAACAGAAAGTCTTCTGCAAATTCTTCCACGGTACAAATAGGGTTTCCACCTTTCAGTCACTGAAAGTCCACTAAAATAAATGTCAAGGAAAGGATCAGTTATCAGGCAAATAAAAAAACATGCAAAAGCAACTGGATTTTGGGGAGTTTCCAATGCGGAGAAAAACAGCAAGACTGCAAAAATAACTAAGTTTGGAATAGCTAGAAAAGACTTCATTCTCAGGTCAATAATCAGCATGGCCAAAGCTACAACAAGTAAAATGACACTCAGAGACTTTTCCACCAACATAGTTGTGCTGGCAATGGCAAATCCAACAAGTTCCAGAAATTCAACTGTGGTTAGTAAGGTGGGTCGATGACGGACATAACCAGAAATTCTCTCCACCAAAGAGCATAGTATCCTTAATACTATGGAAGTTAGAAGCAAATATTTGGTTGATTCTTCTTTCACATCATTTTTAAAGGATGAATTATCAAGAAAACACAGGAGGCCAAGCAAGAATCCAAACCAAAGATTGGATAGACTTAAACTTGCTGCTTCCATTGAAAAATAATAATAGAGTATGCTGGCAATTCCAAGAACAAAAAGACCAAGAATAAAAATTACCAAAATTAAGGAATTTGCTGTTTTTTCCCATCTTACATAAAGACCTAAGCATATAGCAACCAGTAGATTAATTCTGGCTAAATAGCCAAGATAACGCACTGAAGAATGCATGTTCACTTCTCTGTTTACTTCTTCAAGTCTTGTCATTGCTAAATAGAGACAATGACTAAAGCAATAACGCAGTGATTTACACATTAATCTGTCAATCTGGGCTTTCTCCCCACGTTACAAAAATTAACTGCTTGTATTTCATCCAGCAAATCCAATGTTTCTGTAACTCCTACTTCAGCATTTTCTCTGGTGGAATTTGTTTGTAGTGATCTAAAAAGAAGAAAAAATATTTCGTTGTTAATTTTATGTAATTTGCCTTTCACATGTATCTTCCTTATACAAAATAATGAATAAGTGAGAAATAAAGTTTGTTCTGAAACCCAGCTTAAAATGTGACTTGTGTGTATCTTAATGGTAATTGTCTCTGGCTTAAAAACTCTGCAGTTTATCCAAACAAAAATGGAGATTTTTTTCTACTCATCCTATGCTAGGATTGTATGACTAAGTCACCATCAATGAAACTGTTTTTCCAGAGATGGTGAGGAATTCACATAATTCATTTTTACTCCGATATGTGGTTTTTCAACAACATGCAAAGATGAGATATTCAACTTAGCTTAGATGTAGCAGATGCGTCTGGCACAATGGAAAGCTACTCAATTCTTAAATGAAACAAGGGACCTCATCATTACCTCTAATTTGAAAAGCATCAGTATCCAATAATAGCAACCATTACTACCTGCCTAAAATCATCTACATCTTTTTACCAGTCACCTCTAAAATGCGATGATATCTTAGTCTAACAGTGTTTAACTAATAAACTTATTAGAAGTGTAACTGTATTAAAGTTACTCAGTCACTAAAGTTGATCCATAATTCTCCCTGTACTTTTTCCTCTACTAAATTACTTTGATTATCAAACCTACAATCTTTGTAGCAAACTAATTCTGGACCTTTCTAGTCAAAACTGTAAAGTTGGAATGCTGACCAATATTTATTGTAAGATAAATTTTTAAAACTATAATTTTACTTTTAAAAAGTTACCACAATTATTTGTCAAAGGATCCAGATAATTATTTCAATCTTAAGTGCCCCTTCAAGTTGCACTTCAAACATGATGTAGTCAAAAAATGATTTAACTATCTACTACATAATTCTTCAAATTTTCTAGTATGCTATTTCAGAAGAAATGATCCATGCAATGGCTCAGCGTCACATTGAATATCCATAGAGAACTCAATCAATAAAAACTCAAAAAGTAACTAGTTTGTGATCAGCTTATTTATACTTTCTAATAGCAGGACACTAAAAGAAAGACCCAAAAGAAATATGAGATAACTTGGAATTAACTCTTAATTACCCATTTGGCTAGAAAAGAATGTCACCGGGTGACAGCTTTAGGGTCTCTGGGAGGTTCCAAGTATTATTACTAATTTACATGTTCAACATGTATATTTTTTACAGCTAAGTTTATTTAATTAACTAAGAATGCTAATTTTTCCTCAATTACATTTTCATTCAATCATTTCTTAAGAAACCACACACCACTAAAGAAAATATCTTCCTTGGTATATTTAGGTTTTATCTTTTTACTTAAGAAACTGATAGTATCTAGAGTGCATTTCATTTTTTTAAACATTACTTCTATGTGTTATATAATCATTCAACAAATATGTTGGAATATATGTCCTCAAAAGGTCGATGGTACAGTCTGGGCTCAGAAGACTGAACACTGTTGGAGAAAAAAAATCACACACTAGACTAAATGGTTGCCACTCAACTCATGAGACATAGTTCTGTGTTTCTCTGGTCAACACACTCTCATTCTCTGTGATTATGCAAACCTCTTTTCCCTATCCTCAAATCTCTGACATCCACTTCCCACCAAATTCTCACCAGATGACTTTGCCTCCAATGAAGTCATCAGCAGGGAGCTTACCTGAGTTTCCAACACCACAAACTCACCTCTATCTACATTTCCTGATTCAAGAAAGGAAGGCTGTCCCTTCCCTATCTAAGGCTACATCTTTTAGCCACACATGTATCCCTTCCCCTCTGCCTCTTCCAGAACTTCACACTCTCTCCTCTCTCTTTAAACTCCAACTCTTCTCTTATCCATTGACACAACCATTTGCAAAGCTCTTTTTAAAAAATAATACCAGGGCTTCCCTGGTGGCGTAGTGGTTGAGAGTCCGCCTGCCGATGCAGGGAACACGGGTTCGTGCCCCGGTCCGGGAAGATCCCACATGCCGCGGAGCGACTGGGCCCGTGAGCCATGGCCGCTGAGCCTGCGCGTCTGGAGCCTGTGCTCCGCAACGGGAGAGGCCACAACAGTGAGAGGCCCGCGTACAGCAAAACAAAACAAAACAAATCAAAAAATAATACCAAAAAAAAAAATACAGAAACAGAAACAACAAACAAAACTAAACAATCCTCACTAATCTTCATCCCCTCTTCCAAGTTCAATCTTCGGTCCTCTTGACAGACAATATTTGACTGCTTTACTTCTCATATCAACTTAACAGTGGTTTCCACCACACAACAACAAACTGCTCTGCCAAGTTCTAAAATAACCTGCAAATTCCTAAATCCCATGGGTTCTTTTCACTCATTATCTTGTACATTCCTCAAACAGCCTTTGATGTTTTTGATTCCTTTCACCTTCTGAAACCTGCCCTTCCTTTAGCTTCCAAAGACCAGACTCCAGATTTTCTTCCTAACTCACTGATCTCTCCTCTCTGTCTCCTTGCAGGGTTTTCATTCTGAATCTATCCTTTGGATGTTCAATCCCAAGCCTAGGCTCTTCTCTCACTATACACTTAAACACATATATATTAACCTACCTGACAGAAATAAAAGCACTAGCTTGGTTCTGCACTGAGGTAAAAGCTTAGAAAAAGGTAAAGGAAAACACGTAAATAATAAAGTACAGCACATTCATAGCATGGAATATATGCAGCCACCCTGTTATAGGCCAAAACCAACATGACAGAATATTATTTTTAAATAGCTAATTTACAAAAGTCTTTTCCCATTCTGACCTTCTTCAAAAGACAAACAGCCTGAATCAGAGTAAAACAACAAAGCACTGCAAACCTTTTCAGTGGGTCTGCCATCACTAATGATTCAGTAGGAAATTCCTTGAGAGGCAGATTAAAAAGGAGCACAGAAGAGTCAATCTGAATACAAGAAAAGTTAACTAACAACTGCCAGAGTCTGTTTTATAAAATCCTATGTACTACTCTAAACCCTCTTCTCCTTCACCACCTGTATGCAATCGTCACCCAAGTCTTGCCCACTCTTTTTCCTGCACACCTCTTAAATGTATCTACTTCTTTTCATCCTCAAGGTCACAATCCCAGTTCTGGCCACCATCATCTCATGGTTGAATGTCTCCTTGCATCCACTCTTGCCCTTCTCCAAGAAGTATCTTTTTTAAAGCCAAAATTTGTCACATCATTCTGTTACGTAAAAGCCCCCAGCGGCTTCCCATCACTCTAAGCAACAAAGTCTAAACTCCTTAAAATGCCTTATAACACTCTCCTCATTGGATATGCATAATTCTCCTGCCTCATCTCTTACCATTCTTCCTCTTGAACTTGTATTCTAGCCATACGGACCTTTCAATTCTGAACCATACTAATGCTATTCCCTCTCCAGGTGCACTGCTTTCCCTCCTCTTGGCCCCATCCCAGTCCTCACACCTGGCTCACTCCTATTCTTTACTCTTTACGCCTCAGCTTAAATGATTTTCTTAGGGTAATCACCTTGACTCATTTATATGATCCATGTACTTCCTCTGTAACAGCAAAATATTGGCCATCAACTGTTTAAAATCTGCATTCCCCATTAGATCAAAAGGTCTCTGAAAGTCTGTCTTCGATACTGTACACCAGTATTGAAGACAATACTGTTTAGCAGAAAGTACTTTCTGTTTAGCAGAAAGTTCGACACCAAGTAGGTATTCAACACGTACTTGTTGAAGAAATAAAGAGTGATGCAGAAATAACTATATTTAACAACAATGCCAATCAGCTATAGGGCACGTATTAATATACAAAGAGTAAACGAGTTGTCTAATTGGTTTGCTTCTCTCTCGGCCTTATGCCAGCCTTCACTTAATTCATCCAAATTCCTCCAAACCAACAAGTTCTCTTTCATGTCCTACTTCTAGGGAATCCAAGACACACTATATCACGTGCAACGTCTTTAGACTCAGAAACTATTTCCGTCCCATCTAGGGGAAGTGTCAAAAGCTGAAAGAACATACTGAGCACCCAGGGTCGGGGAATTCCAGTGCTTCGGTTCTATGAATTCATGATAATAACTCTTTGGACCCATCTCATACAAGGAGAATGGCACCTCGAATACTAAATCCCTCAGCAATAGGGCAGCAATAACAATTCTTCTTCCATTCTGCCTCCTCCTAGCAAGATGTGGGAGGCCCAAGAAGAAGCCTCGCTGTTGTCGACCATAACCCAGCTGAGTGGGGAACTGCTGGGGGATACGGAGAGGCGCCCCGCCTTCCATCCTCCACCCCACACCATCAACTTCTCTCCGGGCAGGTATCCCTACCTCCGCCCCGGGAGGCCGGCTGGGCGGAGCTTGGGGCCCGCACCACTCTGAGCCCTGGGCGGTGACTGTGCCCAGGTCTCACCGCCTCGCCAGTGACCCCCTCGCCCACCTACCTGACTCGGCCGCTGCTACCAACTCTCTCAACCCTCGGAGTCGGCGCTGGGGCCAGCACGGTAAAGGGAGGGCCCTTGCGGCTGAGCCTGCGACTCGGAGCGGGGAGGCGGGACTCCAGGGGAGTCGAGGGCCGGAGGCCGCACGCTCTAGCACAGGCCAGTCTCGTCGGAAACTTTCTCCGTTACTGGCCCGGTTACGGCCGCCATATTCCCGCCGCCGGATCCGCGACGGTACGGAACGCCGCCGGGGTCAAGCGGCACGACGCGCTTCCTCCCTGAGAGCCGGCCCAGGCCCTGCCCCCCTCCCCGCCCAAACCCTCCGAGCCGCCGCGGACCCAGGTGCGTTCGGCGCTGCGCGAGCGCAAACGGCCCCACCTGGGGTACAAGCTGCCGCCTTCCTGGACCTGGAATGGGCGGCGAACAGGAAGCTGGAAGACCACGAAGGATCAGGCCGACCGTGTCCATCAAGCCTCTAGGCCGCCACCTCGGGCTTGACCGAGACCGGGGCAAAACGGCCGGGCCGGCCGGCCACACAAGAACAGTAGATACTGCAGGAGGCATTGCTGCTCTTTAATACCTATCGCATAATATATGGCTTTGTGTCCACTGACCAGCTAAAAGCTCAAGCTCCTTAGGCTCGCCTTCAAAGCCCTCCTCGCCTCCTTTTCTAATTAAGACTTCCTTTCATAAACCGCCTAGGTCTTTACTCCGCCGACAACGCTAAGCTCCCCCAGTCCTGACCCAATTCCATTACCCCTCTCCCCCCGCCCCCCGTCCCTTACACGTTCACCGGCCCCGCATCCTGAGGGTCCTTCACATTCCAGGGCTAATTCTTCTTTGTATCTGAATGCACTGAATAAACATAAGGGGATATTCCTCGGCAGCGTTTCACAACAGCTGTGGAGCTGATGATTTTGGGGTTTGAATTCTGGTTTCTCCCCTTCCTATGTGCCACCTAGGTTTCTCCATCTAAGAAATGGTAACAAAACCTTCTTTGCAAAGGAAGGAAACCTTCCTTCTATGTTGTGAATATTCAGTAAAACATTTTTTTTTTCTGGCATCATAAGGTAGGCCCTCAAAAAGTATGAATTCCCCCTCCCTCTCCAAGAAGCCCTTCCTGCCTGCCAGCCTTCTGTCCCTACCATAATTTTCTACTGTTCATAGCACTTAGCGAGGTCAGTCTCTATGAACCCCAGTTCCCTCATATGTAAGTAGAATGCTAATAATACCTACCTTACAGGGTTGTTGTAGGGATTAAATAAGATGATGTATGTAAAAATTACCTTAGGGCTTCCCTGGTGGCGCAGTGGTTGAGAGTCCGCCTGCCGATGCAGGGGACACGGGTTCGTGCCCCGGTCCGGGAAGATCCCACATGCCGCGGAGCGACTGGGCCCGTGAGCCATGGCCGCTGAGCCTGCGCGTCCGGAGCCTGTGCTCCGCAACGGGAGAGGCCACAACAGTGAGAGGGCCGCGTACCACAAAAAATAAAATAAAAATTATCTTAAAACCTTTACATGGTTTATCTCCTTTGGGATAAAGCACAACAACAGACTATACAGCAGCTTGACCTCCAACTGAAACAGTAGGGAAGGGGGCAGGGCACAACCTTTAAAAGAATGACATAGCCGTAGGACATGACAAAAACTGGTTAGAACCAACTAGGTCCAAGATGGCAGAAGATTTGACTTCCAGTGGACCTTGAGCCTCATTATACGCTCATTGTAATACATCAGCGGGCTAAATGACACACCCACAGGTGCCATGACAGTTCTGAGGTCAACCGTAAAAGGTCAAAAAGTGGGCCGTGGCCCAACTCCTGGAAATCTCCACCCCTTCCCCAAAATGACTGGAATAATTCTGCCACTAATTAGCCTTTGAAATTACCCAGCCCATAAAAACTAACCACCCCATATTTTGGGGCCTCTCGCCTTCTGAGATGACCCACACTCTTTCTGTGGAGTGTGTTTCTAAGTAAATTCACTTCTCACCTATCACTTTGTCTCTCACTGAATTCTTTCTGCAAGGAAACATCAAGAACCTGAGCTTCTTTAAGTCCTGAGACCAGCTGTGTGATCTCAACTAAAAGACCGTGGGTTCAGGTCCCAATCTGGGTTCCGGCTGGGTTGAAGTCCCAATCTGAGTTGCATGATTTCACCACCACACTCCCCCAACTCTGCACCCTAGCCTGCTTCCATTTCCTCAAATGCAGGGACATGTCCAGTTTTGCTCACCATTAAATAGGCCTACGTGGTGCCTGATATATAGTTGGTACTTAAATATTTGTTAAATGAAATAATAGAACAGAGTAGGTCCTCTCCTCCCACTTATTTTCTATTAGTGTCTTCTATATTCTTGTTCTATTTCCCCTAACAGAGTATGAATTTCTTCATTTTCATTTCATAGATGGTGAGGGGTTGGAGTGGACAGCACGTCTATAAGTGATGAAGCACCCTCAGACTCAGATTCCTCATTTGTAAATGAAAATTTTGTGTTTGATTCTCTCCAGACTCCTGTCTAACTCTAAATTCAATCAGTACCCAGCTCCCAAATCTGTAACTCTGTTTCTCTGGGGAACACAGCGTCACATTTCCAACTACCTGCTAGATGTTTCTACTTGAATATATTGTCCTCACTTCTAATTCAACTTGCCTTTAATGGATTCCCACCACCTGAACCCTGTTTCCATGTGTGGTGAATTCTCCCCTGTTGACTGAAAAAAATGCATAACCTAAAAGTTGAGAATTATGTTTTATCTGGCAGACAACCAGAGGACTTAAGCCCAGGACACAGTCTCAGATTGCTCTGAGACACTGCTCCAAAGAGGTAAGGGAGGAGCCTCGATATATAGGAGTTTTCACAACAAAGACCAAGTAATCGGAATTTCAAAAGATTAGTGTTAATTAAAGAAAACCAGACATCTCAAGTTAATGAATTTAACACTTTTCTATGTATGGGAAGATGCAATAGTCTGGGCTTACTGAAATCATTTCTTTGATATGTACATCAGCTACCTTGAGCCAGTATCCTGTGTTTTCCCATCCTGACTCTCCTCAGGTCTCACCTTCCGGGGGTGGGGAGGGACCTGTAATTTGATGGCTGCAACATTCTTTGTTTACTGACATGGCAGCCAACATTTTTCACTCACACCCCCCAACCTTACAAGTCTAGTAGCTGAAACTGAAATGCCAAGTATTTACTCAACCAATCATGAGCACCAGCTGGGAGCTATTGGCTCAAAAAAGCAGGCACAGAAAGCTATGCTCCCTGGGTAACTGCAGGAATGAAGCAAGGTAAGTTCCTGGGGCAGTAGTGAGAGTGGTGATGGTGGCTGTGAAATGGTTAATGTGTGTGGAAGGCACAGAACAGGCAAGACTAAGAGAAAGTAACAGGGCTATTAAAGCCTATTTGCTAAAACAAATAATACTCACTATGTGTTATATCCCTACCATGTGACAAGATTGTATTACTTGCTTTATATTAATTGTTTTTAAACCTATCTTCAACACAGCAAAATCTGTGGATTAAGAAATAAGTCCTGAGGAAATTTGCCCAAGATGTCATAGTATTTAATGGTGGAAACCTATCTGGATATAAAGTCATTGGGCAGTAGTTGGAATAATGTATCCCTTACACAAATTAAGAAACTGCTGGAGTACCACTTCTCTTGTGGAGTTGAAAGATATCAATTAGCTAAGTCTTCCTTTTTAGTATGTAGTAAAGGTAATGATGGCTTACAAACTTAAATTATTTTATTGGCAAAGAGAGAGAGGTGGGGATTGGATGTCACAGAGACATGGTGAGAACGGATCTGAGATTAAGATACAAGAAATCTAAATGGGTAGGAGTAAGCAAGCGGGGGGAGGGGGGGAAGTTACTTAGTATTGATCTAAGCTACATTTTATACAAACCAATTCAGACTTTTCTGAAGTATAAATTGAGCTATATCCTGATTCTGAGAATACATTAAGTAATAAACAATATAAAACAGACCTAGACCTTCTCCCCTCCCCCGAAAAAAAATTCATAAACTAAGTATTGGCAGTGAAGCTGTGTCATCTCGCTTGCATTCTATAAAGTAAAATGAATTCATCTGCAAATATTTATTGATCACCTGTTTGTGCAAGGCACTTTTCTCAGCTGAAGATACAGAATAGGATGGAAGAGGGCCTTGCCCATATGTATAGACAAACAAGGAAAAGGATAAACTTCAGATAGAGTGATGCAGAGACTACTTTAGATTATGTGGACTGGGGAGATCCTCCTGAGGAGGTGACATGCAAGCTAAGATCTGATTAGCAAAAATCAGCTAGCCATGCAAATCCAATATAAGAGGGAGAAATTCTAGGCAGAGGGACTAGCTGTTGCAAAGGTGAGCACAGGCTGGGTTCTCCCTTGCCCCACCCTCAGGGGGTTAACATTGGAGGTGAAGGAGAGAGTGTAGGAGGTTGAATTGGGAGCGGCAGGGAGGGGCATAATTTATATTTGGTACTTCCATGATGAGAGATACCCGTATTTAATTGCATCTAGATTGGTTATGAACAGTGTGCCATAATCACATGAACAGATTTCAATGATATGTATCACCAAATGCAGCAGTGCCAGAATATACTATTCTTCAATTTTAAAGTTTTTCTTGCTTCATATTAATGCAAATGTATTTCTTTTTTTTTTCTTAAGTTACATTGTTAGCTCTGAAGAGCACAACAGACACCTATTCCTTACAGTACCTAGTCTAGTGTAATACTATAGTAATGAAGCCTCAAATGATGAATCAAGCAGGACTAAGGAGATGGTTTGTGACATTCTAACTCCCATTCTATAGCTCATTCCAATTGGCATCATTCTCCAGGCCACTGGGGTCCCTCCTACCTTGATAATACTTCTGGTCACACAAGATCCAGAGCTTTTCCTATCAAAATGTTATCTTAACTTTTAAATTCCCAGGTCTCTAATTTTCCACAGTAACCTGCACTCTGGTACTTTAATCTGTGCTAATATTTCAATGGGGTTGAAAAACATAAAAGCTCCTTTTCACAGTCAAGCCATTAGACCCTCTTTCTGTCTCAGGTCTCTTTCCTAAGCATCTTTCTACTTGCAGGCAGGCTCATTTAGCCTGCTTACCTCTCTTCTTGCCAGCAATCATGCATCTACTTTACTTCTAGGCCTGGCTTTGCGAATGTTATCTCTTAGATTCCTAGTG